CCTTTTAAACTATGAGTTTATCTTATTTCTGGGTCCATTTTAGGAGGGAGTCTCCATTACCCTGATAAACTAGTTAAAAGACAGAACAAGGAAGCATGCAGCCCTAATTTTGGAGATCCATAGGTTCAGAAAGTGGAAACTTTGAATTTTTTTCTGACTTTTACCTTGTGGGTAAATCACCCAATTGCAGGCTTATTGTTGCAAGAATGGCCAAAATTAATAACTTTTAAAAAGCAGACTCATGCCCTCTGTCCTTGGGTAAGGGATAATGACAAGGGAGTTCTCACAAGCCCCCTTGTTATCCAAGGGTTTGTATTTTTTTAAGTTTGCTCATATTTGTATGTACATATCTATTTAAAGCCAGGGGATTATCTTTCTATAAATATATAACTGGCAACCTGTATCATCCCTGTCTTTTTTGCCCATATAGCTTGGGCCCTTATTCTCATTTGACAATCCTTCCCTACTGTTTCCTGAAAGTGAAGGGCACCTACTACTGAGCCAAAGGATAAAAAATTGCTTGAAGTTTTGAATAGTAAGCTAGTATTCCATCTTTCTTCCCCAGCATTATGAGCACATCTCCCTACTTTTCCCCCAGCACTGGGGATTGGATCCAGAGCCTTTTAACTGACATATATCTCTAGCCATTTTCAATTTTGAGACAGGGTCTCACTAAGGATCCTTGAATTTGCAGTCCCACTGCCTCACCCTCCTAGAGTGCTGGGATTACAGGTGTGTACCACCTCACCTGGCTTCTCTATCCTTCTTGCTGATCAAATTGCCACCATAGCTGAAAAAAAATTATCTTTTTTATAAGAAAAATACATAGCAAAACAGAGCAGGAAAATCAAAGAGATGAAAAATACGGGAAATAATCGCCAAATTGCCCAAATATGGCTTCTTGTTATAGAGTATTTTGGCTTTTAACCTCATTTGCCTTTCCTGACTCAAAAAATCTTCCTCTTACCAGGGCTGGACCCAAGGGTCCCATTTTCCAACCTCTTCTCTTCCCGAGTTTGGGAAAAGTGTAGTTTTCAGGCTTTCAAGAAACAGAAGACAGTTTGGAGAAGGGAAAGATGTTTCTTTCGGTCCTTTGTTCCAGTGCCTTCTCCATCCCTATGGAGTTTTCCTTAGCCCTATCCCTCAATATTTGTTGATGCCAAAGAGACAAGCCCCATGGAATTGGGATAACTTGGGCAGCAGTACACTAAACAGTGAGGCAGTGTTGAAGAGGAAGTGGGCAGCATCATACTTGGTGTAGAAGCTGGCCAGGAGGTAGCTGGGAGAGAGAAAAATAGGGCCAGTGAGATTGGCCTTTCCTATACACATTCATGCCTTTCCAGCGATCTATTTTAAACTATCAGTTTTATTGCATGTGGTTCTTAGATATCTGAGAATATTCCAGGTATATTGTCAGCTTTTTGGGGTTGAGATAATCAGACAGCACCTTTAACTGAAGATTATAAACAAGTCTGTATTTAATTGTTAATGACAAATGACAGCTAAAGCTGTTTTAGCCTGTATGACTGTTCATAGTCCTCTTTGCTTTCATTCTCCAGTTTCTGAAGATTAATTTATCAGTTCTACCTTTATATACTCACTTCTTTTGGAAGTGTAAAGTCAAAAAAAATAAATTAAATAAAATAAAATAATAAAAAAATAAAAGATAAACATGAAATTCACAGGTTATGAATTCATCAGTGTTGAAAAACTTATAAAAGGATGCCAATATTTAAGGACATGTGAGAGAGGAAGCATCCATATTGAAATTAAAGGAATGTTTGAAAAGACAAGGGAATCAACAGAATTATACATTTCTAAAAGAATAAAAAGGAAGAATTGGTCAATGAGTTCAAATGCTACAAATATGACAAACACCTTACACCATTTATTAGATCAGTGATTACACTGCCATTGTACTGCTATGTAGCAATTTTGCAAGAAGAAGGGATATGTACAATAGCTAGATTACAAATATTTTAAAAATTAATGGGAAAAAACGCAGTAGAGATAATGCATGTGCACCACCCAGCCAGAAAGTCTGGCTGGGATGAGAAGGGATAAAAGAGGTTATTTGTCAAAAGGTTATTTTTTTAGGTTTATTTGTTTAGTGCAGGACTCAGAAATGCTGCTGTTATTACTGTACCAGGCAGGTTACTCTGGGATGAAGTCAGGTTATTTATTGTTTTCGTGTAGAGTTTTTGAGGAAAACAAAGGATGAACTTCAGAAAAAAGGGGAGCATGTTTAGTAACAGACTCTATCAAGAGAGAAACTACAAGCCTGTCAGTTTGGAGATATCACTAACCTTTTATTCAGCCACCACCACCTTCACCCCATCAATCAAACTCACCAATTAGCTTTCTTGATTCCTTGGCACCACCTTGTCTCCAAGACATGGACTAGGAAAATTTGACTCACTTATAGTTCAGTCTTGACTTGATTTGGTGCCTTTATTTACTGTAGTCAAGGAAGATTGAAGAAGTTCAAATTGACTACCCAGGGGACTCTGTCAATACTGCTTCTAGTTTTTCTCTAAGGTGGCTAGTACATAGCACAGTGTGCCGGCCTCTTTCATGTTGTTACTGTTCATGCTCCAATTAACGTAACTCCAGTTTGACTGCTATGTGGTGGTAGAAGAGGGTGGCTGACTAGTAAGTAAATATTTGGAAAGATGGAAATAGAAGAGAAAAAAACACTACCTTAGGTACAAGTGAATAAAACAGTACCCCTCAACAATATTCTCTTCAGTAACAAAATACAACTCTTTCAAGAGAGGGCAAGCGACAGAAATCTTGCCTAGCTACTGTGGGCTTTGGGATTAAAG